TTCAGCAGGGGGACATCATGTAAATGTCCCTTTTTCCTTTTTATTTATTTATATTTTCCTGGCCAGATTCCAGGTTAGATAATTCATTCCATTTCCACACAATTCCATTTGGTCATGCCATGTGCCTAGGTTCTTAATGTTTGTCTGGAACTGACAATCTCTGTAAAGCAGGGGTGCTCAGCATCTGGCCCACATAGCCATGTAACCTGGACCTCAGAACTCTTCACAGGTCCAAAAACTTGGCGGCAGAGGAGTGGGACAGTCTTAATTGCTGCTCTCCTACTGCCACATTTCTGGACCTGCATGAGGCTGAGGCTCTCCTTACATTCTGGTAGTTCCCGCTTCCAGAGTAGTGCTTTGTGACCTCTACAATTTAGATCCGTCTGTAGGATACTCTAAATGATATAAGGCTGCCAGCTAGGCTCAGAACTGAGGGCACTGCAGAAGTGACTTAAAACTTTATGATGCATGCAGATGTTTGTTGCACTTGACCTGCGATCGTGTAACTTACTTTAAGCCACATGCTGATCATACAGTTGGAGTGGCTGTGTGCATGTTCACTGATACTGGAAGTGATGCCAGGAACCCAGCATGAGTAAGTTGGGGTGGGGGAGGGGTGGGTGGAATCAGGGGAGCTAGCAAGAGCCTGCGGGGGGTGTCCGTCTGTGGGGGTAAAGGTCTGGGGGATAAAAATAGGTCCCTCAGGGTCAGGGGGTAGAAAGAGCTCAGCCCCAGAGCTGAAGTGAACGGCTGCACTCTCTCAGCCCTGGGGTTGCTTTCCAAATGTGTGAAGGCATTCACTAGATCAGGCTAACCTGTTCCCATTCTAACTTAGTTCACATCCTCAGGTGAATGAATTTAGATCAGGCCCACCATTTGTGCCTCATACAACCTCTTTGAATGTCTAGACAGGTAAGCACTTGACTAGTTAGAATTATCTAAATGTAATGTCTGCACATACTCTTCTTTGTTTTTCCCTGCTTGTTTGGCTGCTGCTGATATAGCATCTAGTATTGAATTAATGCAGTTACGTTGAGTTACCTTTAATATGAAAGGCTGTATAGAAAAATAAATTATATTCTGTTGTAATCTGTCTACCATCTATCTATCCATGTAATTAGAAATAACCATGAGAATCCCTTAAGAACAGGGTTACAGGTGAGCAACCAAAATGATAAAAGGGTTATAAACTGTGAGCTATAAGGAAAGGCAAAAAGAACTGGGTTTGTTTAGTTTAGGAAGGGGAAAACTAAAAGGGGAATAGTAAGTTTGCAAATATCGTTTATTTATAAGGATGCTGATCAGCTGTTTTCCATGCCTACCAACAGCAGGAGAAGTAGTTATTGACTTAATTTGCACTAAGTAATATAAATTAGATAATAGGGAAACTTTTTAACTATGAGTATAATTAAACACTTCGTAGTTTCATAGTTGGTAGGGTCGGAAGGGACCTGAGGAGATCATCTAGTCCAACCCCCTGCTGTGGCAGGAAAGAGTACTGGGGTCAAACGACCCTGGCCAGATGTTTGTCCAGACTTTTTTTAAAGCCCCCCAAGGTAGGAGCCAGCACCACTTCTTTTGGAAGTTGGTTCCAGGTCCTAGCCGCCCTGACAGTGAAACAGTGCCTCCTAATGTCTAGCCTGAAACTCCCCTCCGCTAGCTTGTGTCCGTTGTTTCTTGTCATTCCTGGGAGTGCTCGGGGGAACAGGGACTCTCCCAATGCCTGCTGGTCCCCCTTGACTAGTTTGTAGACTGCCACTAGATCCCCCCTCAGCCTTCTCTTTTGGAGGCTGAACAGGTTCAGGTCCCTTGGCCTCTCCTCATAGGGCCTGCCCTGCTGCCCCCTGATCATGCGGGTGGCCCTCCTTTGGACCCTCTCAATATTGGCCACATCCCTCCTGAAGTGCAGCGCCCAGAACTGGATGCTGTACTCTAGCTGTGGCCTGACCAGTGTCGCATAGAGGGGGAGGATCACCTCCTTGGACCTGCTTGAGATGCATCTGTGGATGCACGACCAGCCTGTAGGTGTGCCGCTGGTTCTTCCTCCCCAGGTGCATTACCCTGCACTTGTCAGTGTTGAACCCCATCCTGTTCTCATCGGCCCACCCCTGTAACCTGTCTAGATCCGCTTGCAGCATGTTCCTTCCTGCTAGCATATCCACTTCACCCCACATCTTAGTGTCATCTGCGAATTTGAACAGGGTGCTTTCTACCCCCTCACCCAAGTCACTGATGAAGATGTTGAATAGTGCGGGCCCAAGGACCGAGCCCTGGGGAACCCCACTGCCCACATCCTTCCAGGTTGAATAAGACCCGTCCACTACCACCCTCTGGGTCGGCCCTCCAGCCAGTTAGTGACCCATCTGACCGTGAAGGCATCAACACCACTGTCTCCTAGTTTCTTACTGAGAATGGGGTGAGAGACCGTGTCGAAGGCCTTCCTGAAGTCCAGAAAGACTATATCCACTGTGACACCTGCATCCAAGGACTTAGTGACCTGGTCATAGAAGGCCACCGGGTTGGTTTGACGAAACCTGCCCCTAATGAACCCATGCTGGTTGCCCCTGAGCATAACCTCCCCTGCTGGCCTTGAATAAGTTAACTAGGGAGACTGGAGAATTCTGTCACTAAGGACAGTTAAGAACAGGTTAAACACACATCTGTCAAGGATAGTTTGGGTATATCTGATTTTGCCTCAGACCGGGGGGATGGACTAGATGACCTCTTGAGGTTCCTTCTGGCCTTACATTTCTAAGCAACTTCATTAATTCCACAACAGACCTACACATTCATTCACACTTCAGAAGTTCATTAAAATTAGCCCTCAAGGACTTTAAGTACAGAAAATCCTTTGTTGCCTTAGGTTTTCAGTTAGCAGGTAAATATTTGAGATTTCGCCAAAAGCCTAAGCTACAGAATCTCTTTTGAATTCAAAAGGTATAGATCAGTTCAATATTAATTTACTATTCAGCACAGAGAAAAACGATGGATCACTTTTGTCCATTTATAGTGGGAGTCAAGTGGTCAGGTACAGGAAACTATGTTTAATAATCTGTTGGCATGCCCAGAAATATGACACTCTCTTGATAGACCTAGTTCACAACTACATTTACTGCCAAACCGGTCTGCCTTTATGTTTGACAGTTTGATTCATCCAGATGTCTCTGGTAAGATTAAATAATTCAGTATGATAAATAGTTATTTTTAAGCTGTCTCAGACTCTAAGTGAGGGTTTCTGGAAGACTGGGAGATGCATCATGGAGCAGTAGATGGAACCTACCAACTTTGCAAGATGAAACATTTTAATTGCCAGCTAGTCAGATACAAGACAGCCAGCCCAGGGGAAAGTGGGGCCTCTTGTGCACTGCTCTGTTGTGGCACCTGTGGTCTGATTTTTCAAGATAACTTATTTTCCATCTCATCTTTGAGGGGCAAGCACATCCTTACCAAACTTCTACTTCCAATCTGATGACCACTATTACAGCTGTCCTACTGAAGATTGAATTGGGGGCTGCAGAACTAAAGAGATGACCTGCTATGGCTTTACCTAGAGGATTTGTGTTCTTTAGGTAGTGGTTGCAACAGCTTATATCCCCTGTTGGTTGACACAGGGGACACAATGCATAGTTGCCACTGGGCTAAAACAGCAGCAACTTTGTACATAGTGCTTGGAAGCTAATAAATCAATATGGTAGTATGTGAATAGGGTAAAATGGAGTGTTTTCTTGCTTTATCCTGATTAGGTTTTACTTGATCATGGTCTGTCACTTGCTTTTCCATATTGCCTTCCTACCAAATTACAGTGACTTTCTT